TAAATGTTAATAGTTCGGTTGAGTTTTAAAAATAAATCTTAAGCACTTTAAATCTAGATAAAATATTCATGATTTGATTGTGATTATCATTTCTAATTATTACATGACGGTTCCATTACATTCAATGCGTATCTAATCCTCATAGTTTATACTCGATTTTCGACAGGTAAAGGTAATATATCAACCCTCGGTCCCTACTATTTCTCGTGTAGATATATTGCATAACTTTCTCAGATATATCCTGTATATAAAATACATTAAATAACATTATATATGTTAGTCTCAGTCTAGACAGTATATATATCAATTTTATTGGATAATGTCATGGGCTTTCCCACGATAATGCGTAAATTCGAATGAACTTGAAATGAAATTCAACATCCAAAATGTGTTAATTTGATCATCCACCGTGTAACTAAAAGCATATTCATGGCCTATTTGCCTTAAAATACGATTGTGATTATGATTTCGAATTCTGTTCTCCATATGTAAAATCTAGAAACATAACAGAGTTAAGTTACACGAAATTCAGCCATCTTGAACATGAAGTCTTGTCAATTTACTTAATCGTTGATTGATTTCTAGGTTTATTAGAATTAAAAGAACGAACGTTTCATCAAACGAGTCCTATATTCAATATCTATTCGTTGGGCCCATTCTTTAATGTAACTATATTCTTTTAACTTTAAAAGTATCTGTTTAGTGCTACTTTAACATATATTCATTATTTTTATCCGCACAACAGTATCAAACGTTAATGCACAACTAGCCATGCCAAGACATGGCCACTACCCTCGTCCAAAGTAAAATACAAGGTCCTCATTCTTTAATGATTATGTTTCAATTGATTTAGTTTAGTGATTTAAATGTAGGAAAATGAGTCGCTGTGATGTCATATCTGGCGCAGCAATTTCAGAGTCACTGCAAAAAATTGAAACATCAGTCGGATCATAAGACTAAATAAAAAAGCTATTTAGGGATGAATAACATTCGGTGAAATCCGTGATATCGTTATATCATTCGTTAATTGTCAAAGCTGCGCCCATTTCTCGGTGCAGGCAGATATAAGGCGGCCAGACTGGGCATACACAAAATGTATTGTATGTGCTCCTTAGGTTGCACTCGGGTGCTATCAACATCGAACACACACACGTTTAAGATACACAGAGATAATTAAGGGATGAGTGACAAAGGGATGTTAAAAACAGGTGGCTATTGCAATTGATATTTTAATGTAACTTTAGTATGTAAGAATCTTTTCATCAATAAAAATAACATCTTAGATATAACAGCTACATGTACAATGTGAGTGTATTTAAAAATGTAGTACATAGCTAGTTCCATCTATAAAGATGTCTGATGACAAAAAGCTCAATTTTCCTTGATGTCGTGGTCAATGGGACTTTAACACGTGAACTAATGTTTTTTATTTTTTTGTTTTAAAGTCACTTATAGCAAACCTAATCTAACAATTATCTCACTATATGCTTATGACATATTCATGTATACGTTGTTTGTCTTTTTTTCAAATCAACCCACGGAAATATGCAATACACCAAGTTAAAAAAGTGGTACGAATCATAAAAGCGACGTTGGGTGTTTCACTAGTAATTTTTATATGAAAAATCTAGAAATATTACCCAAATTAAACTATGACTATTCAAAAGAAGACATTCAAATCTATATTATGTAAAAAAAATCAAAGGACGATTCTCGGTTTGGAGAACAGTCTCCTGGGCTAATAATTTTTTTCATGAAAAATATAGAAATATTACCCAAATTAAACTATGAATATTCAAAAGAGGACATTTAAATCTACAAGATGTAAAAATAACAAATTGGTCTGAAGCAGGGATAACGCTCAATTAGACCGATTTAATAAAATACAAGACTCGATTTGGGGAAAGAAGTTCTTCAGTGTACTGCGCTAATATTCTTTTTGCGAAAAATCTAGAAATATTACCCAAATTAAATTATGACTATTCAAAAGAAGACATTCAAATCTATATTATGTAAAAAAATCATATTTGTCCGAAGCAGGGATAATGCTCATTTAAATTGATGAACTTCGTTCTCCAAACCGAGAATCGTCCTTTGTCCGAAGCAGGGATAACGCTCAATTAGAGTGACGAACTTTGTTCTCCAAACCGAGAATGGTCTTTTATGAAAAAAGTTATGAAAACACATCACCAGATCATGTAAAGCTGTTTTACCTAAAAGATCGTTTTATCTTCACCCTTCGAATGGATTTCATGAAAAAATATTTTTATGACAAAATAGGATTTGTAGGATATCGACGCTCTAACATGTAGTTTTAATCACACGCAGGTATCTGGTTTTATTGCGTGTAGAATGTATCGATATCAGGACCGCTACATGCCAGTGACCTTGCTCCTTTCTGTCGTATTAAAAAAGCAAAAATAACATATCACGGTGGGGTGCGAACCACTCGCCTGGGACTTGGTTATTCACTAGTACCATAGGCGTTCATCTATTCTGGATACAACTGACGAGTTGTATTTACGTGCAGTCAAAAGTGAAGATCATTTTGAATTGACGCTCGGTATAAATATATAATACTTTTATCCTTTCGTATCGGTTGCACGTTAGCCTCATGGCTAACGTGCCTAGCTTCCATGCTCTAGGTTAGTCGATCGAGACCCGTTCATGGCGAATTTTTTGATTTGCTTGTTGTAAAGATATAATAAGTAGGGCAAAATCCAGAAAAAGTAGATCAAAAATACTCCAATGGAGTATAAAATTGTCACCAGGATTCCGAAATGAGACGAATGTAAACTCGTTAAATCTCGGTAGATGAAGTAGGTCAGAAAATCCGGATTAATCCGAACAAGGTTCGGAAATCTTCGTCATAAGAAGTAGATCAAAAATACTCCAATGGAGTATAAAATTGTCACCAGGATTCCGAAATGAGCCGAATGTAAACTCGTTAAATCTCGGTAGATGAAGTAGGTCAGAAAATCCGGATTAATCCGAACAAGGTTCGGGAATCTTCGTAATAAGAAGTAGATTAAAAATACTCCCAATGGAGTATAAAATTGTCCCCAATATTCCGAAATACGACGAATCGAATCGGCAAACTTCGGTAAAATAATGAAGTGCATAAAAACCGAAATGATCCGATGAACGTTCGGATAAAATCGTGAACAGGTGTCAGGGGTTTCCCCTCATCTTTCCCCACATTGTTCTAAAAGCCTTATATGGATTTATCACGTAACATTCAAAATGACGTTCGAACACGTGACCAAATATACCAAATAAAAATTTTACCTTGACCACTGGATGGGATTTCATAGAAAATATCCAAGAAAACCTATCCTCGTGATCCTTAAATCACTTAAATTCGATCATTTTATTTTCACCCCTTGATGGAATTTTATGAAAGAAGTCATGAAAACACATCATCATGTAAGGGTTTTCACCTAAATTAGCTCGTTTTATCTTGAGCCTTCAATTGAATTTCTTGAAGAAATATTTTATGAAAAAATATCATCATGTTATGATTTGTATTTAAATAAGACCGTTTCATCTAAATACTTGGATAATATTTCATGAAAAATGCACTTTAAAATTTTTCAGAATTTGCCTTAATTTATCAATGTAATGAAAGTATAAGATTAACTCTCAAATAGCGTTCTATTTTAACCTTTTTATTGAAATCAATACAGGACTCGCTCTCTAAATATCCAATAAAAATTCAACCCTTGGATGTGATTTCGTTGGAAAAAAAATATGTCAAGTCCAGAATCAAATGATTTGTCCAGAACCTCTTAAGATCCTGTTTGCTCAAAATCTTAAATATTTCAGGTAAATCTGAAGTTTCTTTTAATAACAGATGTTGCCATTTCTCTTCAAATCATTTGAAAATGAACATTAAACTACCCTAAAAACATATTTGAGGAGTGTTTAATAAGATAACATGATAAATGTGATAAATTATATGATATCTTTGACCCTGAACTCTATTCTATTAGGTGACTACCTCTCTATCTACTCAAAAGTTGGCGTGGCACTTTTCAGTGATAATGTCCTAAAACAGTTATTTTTACAAAATCAGTCACAGTTATATTTATAGGGCTCATGGATACGGATGTTATTCTTTAATATGGTGAGTCTGTACATGATTGGTCAAGGGGTTGCCATAGTAACACAGAGCATAATAAACGCAAATAGTGTAGTGCATATGTTCTGAAAAAACTTATAACAAAGAATATGATTCAACCCCCAGCGTATATGGTGCCCTTCAATACCAAGAACATTTCATCCAATAGTCTAATATGGTAGAACCTGAGACTATAGAATAGTTCAGAAGAGCCTAAGTTGGTTCAGCCTCCAGAGTATATAGATGATACAGCCTCCAGAGTATAAAATTAGTGCAGCCTCAAGAATCTAATATGATACAGCCTCAAGTAGTATATGTATTTAGCATCCAGAGTCCAAGATGATATAACATTCAGAATCTAAGATTGCTATAGTAATCAGAGCCTAGAATCAGTACAGCCTCCATAAGTCTAAGATGGTATAGCCTCTAGACCCTTAGATGGTACAGCCTCCAGATATAACATGGGACCAGTTTCCAGAGTATAAGATGGTACAGCTTTCAGAGGGTATGATTGCTATAGCATTCAGAGCCTAGGATGGGTACAGCCTCCATGAGTCTAAGATGGTACAGCCTCCATGAGTCTAAGATGGTATAGCCTCTAGACCCTTAGATGGTACAGCCTCCAGATATAACATGGGACCAGTCTCCAGAGTATAAGATGGTACAGCTTTCAGAGGCTATGATTGCTATAGCATTCAGAGCCTAGGATGGGTACAGCCTCCATGAGTCTAAGATGGTACAGCCTCCATGAGTCTAAGATGGTACAGCCTCCAGATATAACATGGAATCAGTCTCCAGAGTCTAAGATGATACAGCTTCAGAGGCTATGATTGCTATAGCATCCAGAGGCTAAGATAGGCACAGTTTCAACGAGTCTAAGATGGTACAGCTTCCAGATATAACATGGGTTCAGTCTCCAGAGTCCAAGATGGTAGATCCTTCAGATCATTTGATTGCTATAGCATTCAGAGCCTATGATAAGTACAGCTTCCAAGAGTCTAACATGTACAGCCTCCAACCCTTAGATGGTACAGCCTCTCGATATAACATTGGACTAGTTTCCAGAATCTAAGATGGTACAGCCTTCAGAGCCTAAAATGGTTCAGCCTCCAAAGTTGAAAATGGTATAGCCTACGACTAATATTAACAATTAGAGTCTAATATGGCCTAAGGAGTTTAATGGGTACATCTACTTCTATAATGGCTACAACCTTCAATTCCAAGAGTCTAAGATGACCCAGCCTCTATAATTTAAAATTGATACAGCCTACAGAGTCTAATATGGTACAACATCCAGAGTATAATATGAATTCAACCTCCAGAAACCAATATGGCATAGCTTCAGAGTTTAATTTGGATTCAGCCTCTAGGGCCAAAGATAGTACAGCCAAAAAAGTCTATGATTTCTATGAAAGTCAAGAGTCAAAGATAGCTACAGCCTCCAAGAGTCTAAGATAGTACAACCTACAAGAGTCTGAGATGGTATAGCCTTTAAGAGCCTAATATGGTATAGCCTCCATAGTCTACAATGGGTACAGCCTCCTAGAGACTAGGATGATATCGCCTCCAGAGTCTTCAATGGGTATAGTCTCCAGAGTCAAAAATGGTATAGCCTCCAGAACCTTTAATGAGTTCTTGGAACAGCCTTCGAGAGAAGATGGTACACCTTCCAGATGCAGAGTTAACAATGGGTACAGCCTCCAAAAGTCTACAATCTGGGTATAGCCTCCAGAGCTTCTAGTGTTTAATGGGTACAGCATCCATAACCTAGGATTGATACAGCCTATATAGTCTAAGTTGATAAATCTTCTAGAGTCTAAGATGTCAAGAATCACAATTTTGCCACATATAACATCAATATGTGATTAATAAATAGATATAAGATGGTACAGCCTCTAGAGTCTTAGAGGTTGTAGACTCTAATGTTTAATGGGTACATCCTCCAAAGTCTACAATGGGTAGAATATCCATAATCTAAGATTGATACAGCGTACGGGGTCTAAGTTGGTACATCTTCTCGAGTCGTAAGATGTCAAGAATCACCATTTTGTCACATATAACACCAATCTGTGATTAATTAATAGGTCAGGAAATGCTTAGACAGATGGGCGGGCAGACGAACAAACAGAGCAGTATTTCAAGAAACAGCATTATTAGTTGTGTTACCATAGCAAACGCATATCAATATTATCCAAACCTGTATTTGTTAAAAAAGATCATACACTAAAACAGTTCTTAAGGATGAATGTAATAAACAATTAAGATTAACAAGGATTGCCTGAAATGACCTCTACCCACGATTCACATACAATATGTTGTGTTACTATGGCAACCAATTGACAAAAGATATTTGGAATCACCATTCCAGATAATTACATATGTATTAATGACCCTTGTAAATATGATTCTGTCAACATGAAATTATTTGGAATTGTAATAACAAAAAGTGCCACGCCCACTTTGTGGTAAATTGAGCAGTAGTTATCAAACATGAACCAAATATGTCATCCTATTAACCTATTTATCATGTTATCTTGTTGTAAACTCCTTCAATATGTATAACGCTCAAGTTTGTGTTCCTTTTGAAAAATTAAAAATGACAAACTACGATCTGTTTGTAGGGAAACGGTAGATTCATCCTTAATATTTACAATGTTTTGCAATTAAGTTATGTTGCCATGGTAACCAATTGACCAATCAAGATCAGTCTTTTCATGACAACTAACTATATATGGATGCATAATCCCTGAAAATTTGAATGTGATTGGAGGCACCCAACAGAAGATATAAATGCTTAACACAGTACCCCCTCATAAAATAAGACCAGGGGGTACAAATAGTGATTTTTACATGTCTTCCACTACTTAGATTTTTCTAGATTTTTGATATGTCTTTAAACTCATCAATATGCATTTGTTGCACTAGGTTTAATAAGTGTTGCAATTTTTTCATTTATTTTTCATGTTTTTACTGGAGTATACATAATATTTTACAACACTTTAAGAAGGCTACATGTATGATGCGACATCTATTCAAACATTAAAGTATATTTATCAGTAAATAACCATATAAACACACATGTGTTACATACTTTTTATATTTGTTATATATTAATTGTTTTGAAAAAAAAACATTTACAAGAATTTTGACACACAAATAATTATGTAAAGTTTTATGATAAACTAAACTCCCTGATGTGAATGATATTAATATTTACTTGGGGTTCTTTATTTGTAACATAATAATATGCCAACAATTATTTCCGAAATTATTTCCGAATTGGTTTAAAGAGGGCGAACTGCTACATTTACTGTTTCTCATCTTTACATTTTTGCCATCGGAGTTTACTTTCAATCCAAATCTCAAAATACAGTTCGAAAAACAAAACACGATCTGGTTTATATTTTGACATATATGGGAAGTGGATTCTAGGATTTAGTTGAGATTACATTTTATATTCTCCAACCGGTTTAGTTTAATTAATGATATGTGTATTGATATATTGTCCTAAAATACAAAACCGACAAGAAAGACCTTTCTCATTGGTCATAATGGTTAATTTCGCATTTACTCACACTTCCCTAAATACGAAAATTACAAAAATGAAATCTAAGTATGCATGTCACGATGCGGGATCATGGGGCAATTCCATTGACAATGACATCGACATTATATTCGTTTAGTTATTAAACTCTATATAATGTTTTGAAAAGATATACCGTGTCAGATTAATAGCTTTACCGGGTTATAGTATAACATAAATATTGTAGAATCCTTCACAAATGGTAGATATGATGACGTCCTCATATTCATAAATGCACGGGTGTATTAATGCACAAATGCGAGGAGCTAATGAACCCATGGTTGTGACGACAGAGCCTAGTCTAGCCTAAAATTGTCAAACACTACTCTAAAAACTGATATTGGCTCGCTGGTTAAACATGTTGTGGAGACATAGTTCGCTTATTAGTTTGCAGATATTATCCATATTAGATTGGGCTATTTCAGTGCCACCTATCGTCATTCTACAGAATGGACCGATTCAGGGAGCTCATAAGTCACTTTCAAACGTTAATAATTCGCCCTTTCTCCAAGGGCGTGATCTAACCTACAGAGAATATCTCGGTATACCATATGCCGAACCACCGGTTGGAGATCTAAGGTTCAGACCCCCAAAGCCACTCAAAAAGAAGTGGTCTGGTGTACTTGATGCAACCAAACATGGACCTGCGTGTATGCAACATGAAATTCCATTAGTGCCACCACCAGCTAAAACAGATGAAGACTGCTTGTACCTTGATGTTCTAACCCCAGGGAACGGTTCTAACAACGTATCAAAGGCAGTTATGATTTGGATCCACGCAGGCGGGTAAGACATTTTATTAGATTATGTATCAATAATTAATAGTACAGGGTGTTCAAAAAACGCAACCCAAAGAAATCGCCATATCTTGGAAAATGCTAATCTAATTATGTTCATATTTTCAGGACAGAAAAAAGAGACTGTGTATGTTAGTGAGTTGTAAATCATGATATCTTGGACACTTGCTCAAAAGACAGTTGTACAAGCAAAATACGAAAAACATGAATGGAAAATCACTATATCTTGGAAAATATACTAATTTTATTATGTTCATTTTTTCAGAAAAAGAGAGAAGAGACTGTGTATGTAAAACTCCACTTTCCAGTAAGTTGTAAATATGATGCCTTGGACAACTGCTCAAATGACAGTTGTACTAGGAAAATATGAAAACGCAGCCAGAGGTGACCGCCGCAGCAATAAAACCAAATAACTTTCTAACCAATGTGTTTTGGCACTTCAGATTTGGCAAAAATTATCCTCATTCAATGTTTGGTGAATTTGTGGAGTTTCATCAAAATCACTCTAGGGACTACGGTCATGGTCAAAATGGCTTCTTAAGTCTCCCAAAACCAGGGCGTTGGACAGTGATTTGAAAGCATTTCAACCATGACTGTAAAGTCCTTTAAGTGATTTTGATATAACTCTACAGATATACCATACAGTGAATGAAGATGATTTGTGCCAAATTTGAAGAGTCAAAACACAATGGTTAGGAAGTTATTTTTTTTGCTGTTGCAGTCACCCCTGACTGCGTTTCTCGTATTTTCGAAGTACAACTGTCCAAGGCATCAAGTTTTACAACTAACCTTTTACAGGAGCTGTACATACACAGTCTCTTCTTTATTTCCTGAAAATATGAACATAAATGAACCAGTTTTTTCAAGATATAGCGATTTCCTCGGATTGCGTTTTTTGAACACCCTGTATGATGAAAATTAACTAAAGTAATTTCATTAACGTATGGATGTAATACTTACAGCACTTTAGTTTAGGGAAAAGATGGATTCCGCATTCATTGCTCTTTCGAATAATAGTATCAGTCTGAACAGATTTTAGAAGCACTTAACTAAATCGTGATCAATATGATTTAGGGACAGATATTAAATTGAAAAATACTATGAAAGAAAAAATTTGGAACGACAATCGAACAGGAAACTCATAACTCACACACAAAATTGAATATTTTACAAAAGTTCTTGTGTGTAATACTAAAGTGAGGAAAGTATCTCTAGTAGGAAGCAAGTCCAGTGATCGCTAGCGGCTCGTGCGCATTCTCCACCCAATGGAGAACGTAATATCCGGAACGGTCGCAAATTGGCATCCGATTTGAATCAGCCAATTAAACATTGGGGTGCGCGAACTTAAAATCTTTTCTGACTTATGTCTTACACCCCTTTGGACATAAAGTCCATAGCTGAATTGTGTCAGTACATGTTGATGATTGGGAAGTTAAAAAACATCCTTATAACGTAACATATTCCCTATTATTTAGTGAATTTCGGTCACGAACCGTTCAGAAACAACAGTTAAAACGAAAATTGTCCACGTCAGTTTTGATTTTTCGACCGGGAAACCAATGGGGTTTTCTTATTTGCATAATCACGTGAGCCATCTGTTATTTGGGATTTTCGAAGCAGGGTTACACACATTAGCAGAAAACACAATCGCCACTTAAATTATATTTCCCTGTTTATTCTGCCCGTATCAACCCTTTTCACATGTCATATATTTCAGTTAATCAATTATGTAGCTCATGATGTGAACAGATTCCAATTCTATAGAGTGAAATAACCGCAAAACGGTACAGAAAAAGGTACCCTGGTCTGAAAAAACTGACCCCTCTATACATGTACACCATTGTCTAATGAAGACCAAACAAAGCCCCAGATGTCGTGCCGTTTCTCGTTTCGTTTGGTACACAACTACGCCCCGGGTATAAATAAGCCCTTGTTTCACCAAGGTGTTTTAATAGAGATTTTACATTTTGGCATGCCATCTCCTGATACCTTGGTGAACTAAGTCATGTGATCATTTATATCCAATCAGAATGCATTTCTGCCACATAGTGATAGCATAGTGATCCAAAGCTAAACCAAGGTGTAGGAAGGGTTTATATTATCATATAGAAGGGGTGCACTTTTCTAATTGGCCATGGTTGACATGCATGTTTGCAAACTTAGTACTTGCATCAAGAGCTCTGACTGACATCCTAACAAAATAAATTCATCTTACACTGATGCCTGGGTCACATTTGCTCCGTTTCAATATTGTATTCAATTTTGAACAAAATACTCAATCGGCATGGCGCCGTAGTGAAAATCGGAGCAATCTGCATTACTTGTACACAGTGTATACCAATAGCCCGTTTTCAGCATAGCAATTTCTAAGAAGGGTTTCCAAAATGCTCCATCATGGAATATCTTGACCCTCTCTTCTTACATGATAGGCACAGACATGTTTCTAGATGCGATGTGTACCAGAATGAAAGCTCTAGCTTCTTCCTAACTTGGCGGGAGGGTGCAAAGTACTTTCTTGATCATTAAAAATAAATGCCATTGTCACAGGAACTCTGCCTTTTATGTAAATCCATTGAATATTTATCTGCATGCTCGAACTTAAGTAAGTTAAGAAGATCAGATTCTTTATAACACGTGATCCAAATCTATTTGATATTCAAAATCTAAGTAAACCTCTCTTTTTGAAGAACCAACTATCTATCATATTACTCAGATTGGATTTATCAATATTCTCATACTCTCTCTAGTTTGTATGAATGAATGACCCTAAACATCATGTGAAAGACTTCTCAGAAAATGTGCCCAATATATTACTCTAAATCAAACATGTCATAGGAGCTTTGAAATTTTGAAAAGTTGTCTGAAACAAAAATTGTGATCATAAAAAGAGAATGGATTGCTTTCTTAAGCAGTTCTCTCATTTTTTTCTATTTTTAGGAATGAATTCAAATTTCAAAAGCGTCTATAATTTCAAATAATATATTTGGCACACTTTCTCAAAAATTCAATAGATTCTGTCTGGTTCTAAAAGTCCAACTTTTAACTGTTTTTGAGTCACATTTTCTGAGTCACACTCCTCTGTGTATACTTTCTCCAGTATGTATGAATCGAAATTAGGTTAATTTCCCATGTGCCTAAACCAATATTTTATTGTTTTATTTACTTTCTGTGTATGCGTGTATGGACTACTATTTATATTTTTCCAGTGTATATATGAAACAATAAATTTTAACTGTGTGTATTGACAAATATCATGTACTTTCTCCAGTGTGTATGAGCAAATATTATGTACTTTCACTAGTTATTTAACCAATACTCTGTACGTTCATACACACTGGAGAACGTACATAGTATTTGTTCATACAAAATGTGTGTTCATAAACAATGGAGTACATGATATTTGTTCATACATACTGGAGAAAGTATATACAGGCGTGTTGGTTCATATACATGTCCATACTGGAGAAAGAGCGTAATGTCTCTTCATACACATTATAGATATTGTACTACATTAAATTCGTTCATACTCACTGGTTTAGGTACATTTTATTCGTTCTGACACGTTGATTAATTAACAAAATATTGAAAACACGGAAGAGAATGAACAACGTTTTGGTTCATACACAATGGAGAAGTACAAATCATTTGCTTATGCATGTTGGAGAATGGACACAAACTATTTGTTCATACATGCAGGAGAAAGTACAAAAAATGTGTTCATTAAAAGTGGAGAACCCAGATTATATACTTTCTCCAGTTTGTATGGACAAATTCATCAATGTGTTTCATGCAACACATTTTAATTTGTAATTTAAGGTGCTATGGATCGGAAGTTACAGAAATGACAAAACAAAAAATGTCAAAACCATGCTGGATTCTGACACTTTTTTGAACCAAGATAACAGAGTTCTGTTTGGACCTCCAGTCAGTTTAACTAGTTCAACATATTTACATGACCGGGAACACAAGAAAAATGGTCAGAATGACCATAAACATGATATAATAACCTTTTCAGCCCTCTGAAAATGTGACTGAAAAATAGCTAAAAGAAGGTGCACAGTAAAGGTCAATGAACAGAATCTCTTGATTTTTTCAGAAAATGTGTCTAATATTTTGCTCTAAATAGTACAATCTTTGAAATTTTAAAAAATTGTCTGAAACAATAATTGCTGTAGTTAAAAGGAAAATAGATCGATTTTAAATTCATTTTTTTTCTTTTTTTTCTTTTTCTGAGAATGATATGAATTTTTTTAAATTGTATCATTTAGAGTAATATATTGAGCACATTTTCTGAAAAAGTCAAAAGATTATCTTCAGTGACTTTCCTGAGCACCTACTCTTAGCTATTTTTCAGTCACATTTTCAGAGGGCTGAAAAGGTTATTTCATCATGTTTATGGTCATTCTGACCATTTTCCTTGTGTTCCCAGTCATGTAAATGATATGTGGAACTAATTAAACTGACTGGAGGTCCAAACAGAACTCTGTTATCTTGATTCAAATTTTTTTCAAAATCCAGCATGGTTTTGACATTTTTTGTTTTGTCATTTCCTGTTAACTTCCATAGCACCTTAATTTGTATTTCCAAATAAGATTTTTTTAGAATTGTGCCTGTTTGTGAAATTTAGTCAATAAACTAACCATAAATGTCTGCAATAATAGAAAAATCAATAGTGATTTTTTGGGCATTTTGGTAAAGCCTTTGGGATGTAATGGGAAGATTGTCTTTATCACTAGAACTGTTCTGCATGGGGTCCTTTGCACAATTGATAAATTATATACTATACTAATACATTACTATATATAGATTTGCAATGTCTAGGTTTTATTCAAGTAACAGCTGACTCCACTGAGTGTGTATTCAAATGTTGTGCTTATAAAATGTATCGACTCCTATACTACCTTTTGAATAAAAATAAACTCTTCCAAAAGTGATAGGACCTTAGTGCACCCATGCCATGGTAAGGACCTTAGGTTGGCATGCCAAAATGTAAAATCTCTAATAACGTTTGAATGAATATATGGCATATATGGTTGCACATAGCCCTATGGTATCACATTATCACTAACACACCTGTCATAGTTTCATTGACAATGAAAAAACGTAACATACATGTAAAGATTTGACATATTAAGATCATATTTTAAACAAATTAAAAGATTCAACAAATATCGCGTTCGCATCAGCCCTTTTGAAATGCAAGGGCGATGGACACCCAGTTTTATTTTAGCCAAAGAACAATAAAAATTACACACAAAATGACATTACATATACCCCTCTGTATATTGCATAGATGAATCTTGTTCATGTTGAAAACATAGAATTGGTAAACCTGATTTATGTACCTAAACACGTCCAAGTATGGGATAATAAAATATAGAAGTCTTTCTTTTCTTGATTATATTAATGTACTTCCTTAGCTACACTTTGCGATCTACGCGTATATACGATGGTGCCAAGTATGGTGTGATCGGCGATGTGGTTGTCGTTATGATGAATTACAGACTCGATATATTTGGTTTCCTCAGTACAGGAGATGACGTAGTTCCGGGTATGTATAACAATTTGGTTACCAAGGCAACACATACAGTCATCTAAAGTGTAAAAGTTGCTTTTGAAGCATTTTTCTATTGCCATTTTGTAGGAAAAAAATGATGAAAAATCAATTGCAAACTTTATATTTGCACATCTGATGTGATATACCATTTGAGTCATATTGTAACATTATTTAATTTGCAATCGATTCAGGTCATAGTGTATTTTAGGTATTTTTGTGAAAATCAATAGAAACCAATGGCTTCCATTGGAATCTGATGGTATCCATATGTTAAGTCAATAGAACACATCCGATGTCAAGTCAATACACCCTTGCTTAACTTAATGAAACTTAACTTAGGGAAATACGGGCTCATCTCAGCTTTGAGCGTTAATCTCTGCCTTATTTAAAAAGCTAACTATGTGTTTTAGATATCATTTTAAGTATTTTTTATTCGCACTTCAGTGAAATTATTTTTCCTTCAAAATTTGGATGGGATCCAACATTTTTTTAAGTTGAATATATCCCGACATCGTCAAATACGCTGTAAGACGTAACACTTTACGCTTACAGGGCTCGTTGAAATTGATATAACTTTTGAAATAATGATCAAAATCCCACTAAAAGTTCACAATTTATTCGATTGAACATATTCATTTATGACGTCACAATTGCTTAACGGCTCCAGCTCAAATTATCGTATATGAACGCTTTTAAAATTTTCAAAATTGTTTGTAAGGTTTTGAAGGCGAATGGGACGAGTAATAAGTTTACCTACATTTAACCTTCTTATGTAAGTCTGATTTGAAAGAAAAATTAACTGCACAATAATGTCATGGCGAAATTTACAAAACAATAATCAGTTTGTTTATTTTGCAAAGAGCTGGTTTTCGAGCCTTGAAAAAAATGTGACGCATCGATTTTTTACCACGAATTCCATATATGTCAATTTTTACCAACGCCCCAAGTGGATTTCTTGACCGTTTTTCAAAATTCAAGAACATTTTAGAAATATTGTCCTCGACACTTGGTGAAATCGATAAAATAATATATAAAAAGATGTTTTATTTTCGGATATTTGTGTAAAAAGATGCGTAATAATACAGTATTTCCATTCAGTATAATATTATATTATGAAGGAAAAAAATATAATCAGCATAATATACTACATTATATAGAGATTAATATAATATAATTAGAAATAAGTGAGGTCAAAATATATTATTTGTACATATAAACATTTACCAAATCCGATTATCTCAATAAGAACATGTAGCAGAATGTTTTATTCCCGGTATAATATTCTTTTTTAGAATTATTTGCGCCAATTTACATTTATTCTGTCTTTCTAAAATATTATTTGGTCATATTTATCAATCCAAACTGATGATTGCAGTCTATTTAGATTTTTTTCTATTCTAAAAAATATTATTTTCTAGTATTTTCCAATGTAAGCAGAATATATCAAATTATATTGTATTATTTGGGTTTTAAAAAATATTATACGCGATTATTCTCGTCCAACTTGATATACAATCCATCTGGTTAATTACTTAACCAAACAAAACAAAGAATGCACAGCATGGCAGTTAATAGGATTAACCGTTCTACTGGCCTTCTCATCTCTATTACTTACACATGTCACACATATTTTATTTTGACTGTTCTATTTCTATTTGAAAAATATTTACAAATAAATGTTTAGAATTTGTTTCAAATTAATGTTAACAATGGAGTAAAAATGTGAAAAAGTCATCAATTAAAAATCAAATAATTAACTTTCCAATGAGTTAATCGATTCAATCCAAATTTTAACACAATGTTAATCATAGAAAGAGGGATTTTATACAATTCAACAATCATGAAAAACTTAATTTGCAAATTATTATTTTTGTGGAAAATAAAACAATCGGCTCTAGATATTAATCTATTCACTCTAACAAACGGATTAACTCTAACAATCGGATTAGTTACAGTGTATCAGTGAACAAAACTCATTTCATAGAAATTGAAAAAAACTTAGAGATTAAAGTATTACTTATATTGCTCTGTCATCAATACATGTACATGTATGTGAATGGTGAAAATCTTCATGATTTTGAAAGAATTGTTGGCCAAGGGGAGGCGATTGTTACTCGTTAGGTGCGGGCCTGTATAAAATGCGTAATGTTTTGAGCTAAATTTTGAGCAGTTCTGAGTCAAGACTATTTTTGTGGTTGGCAGAGTGAATACGGGTGGTTGTTTGTGCCTGTGTAAGAGGGGCCCTTAAATGTTGTTTGTTGTTAGCTTTATATGGCAGAGAAACAATGGAGTAAAAATGTGAGGAAACCCATTGATTAAAAATTAACTTTCCGTTGAGTAAATCAATTTAATCCAAATTTTAACACAATGTTAATCATAACATAAGGGACATTATACAATCAAATAAATATGAAAAACTTGGTTTTTAAATTATTTTTTGTGGAACTTAGAACTGTTGGCTGTAGGAAATTAATCCATCGCCTCTAACAAACGGATTAGCTTTCAGTGTTAACAAAACACATATTAAAGAAATTGAATAATTGGGGATTTAAGTTTTACTTATCATATTGCTCTGACATACATGTACTGTATGTCAACATGTTATTTACATCAGTTTGTTCTACCATGCACCAATTTGCTCAAAGCGTAATCATCGCTATGTTAGATGAAACATTAGGAATTAATGTAAAATGTGCCCGCTTCTTTATTTTCATTATCAAACAACTAAACATACCGAATATACATTTGGAAATGGAAAACAAAAAATTAAACAAAACCAGCTTTAATTAAAATGGTCCAATTGTAGTAGAAACAAATGTATTACATCATGGACTAATCTGTTGTTTATATCCCCAGTTTATATCTCAGATATAACAGAAAACACATGAATTGTGAAATGTGAGAGAATGCACGTTTTAATTTTGTTTTAGCATGGCTTAACACCACTTGTATCAGTTAACCTAATGTACCTTTCTTATTTATTATCAGCGATTTGCCAGAAGAAATCGGAGCAATACATGTAAATCCAATATAATACAGGCTCGGAATAAGTTTTAGCCCAGGGGATCAATTTTCAAAACAAACCAAGGGGTCACAATTGATCATTTTGGCCCGAAATCACTTAACAGTGCTCAGATTGGTAAAAAAATGTAGGATTTTGAAAGAATTTTGGCAAGGGGGGGTTTACTTGAACCCAACCACCCCCCAACCCCCTCCCTGGCCATGGACCTATACCAAATTCATAATGTATTGATATATAGCAGTTTAGTGTCATAAATGTTTTGTGTTGTTTGTGAAGTGATTAATGGTGTTTGTGTCTGTGTAAGAGGGGGCTTTAAGTGTTGTTTGTTGTAAACTTAATTTGACAGAAAAACAATTGAGTTAAATTGTGAGGAAACCCAATAGATTAAAAATGTGAGGAAACCCGTTGATTAAAAATTAACTTTCCGTTGAGTCAATTAATTAAATCCAAATTTTAACACAATGTTAATCATAACATAAGGGACATTATACAATCAAATAAATATGAAAAACTTAATTTGCAATTTATTTTTTTAGTTGAAATTAGAACCATTGGCTGTGGAAATTAATCCATTAACTCAAACAAACAGATTATTTATCAGTGTGAACAAAACTCAAATCGTGGAAATTGAGTAATTAGGGATTAAAGTTTGACTTATTATATTGCTCTGGAATGTCAATACATGTATGTGAATGGTGAAAAACTACATGATTTTTGACAGAATTGTTGGCCACGGGGAGGGGGGTCCTTAGCTACGAGTCTGTATAAAATACGTAATGTGTTTATTGAATATTGAGCAGTTCCCTGTCATGACTGTTTTCCGGTTGGCAAAGTGAATACAGGTGGTTGTTTGTACCTGTGTAAGAGGGGATCGATTTAAAAGTTGTTTGCTATAAACTTAATGTGACAGAGAAACAATGGATTAAAAATGTGAGGAAAACAAATTAATTAAAAATTTAAAAATTAACTTTACAATGAATTAATTGATTGAATTAAAAATTTAACAAAATGTTAATCATAACATGAGGGACATAATACAATCAAATATGTATGTAAAAACTTATTTTGCAAATTATTTTTGTGGAATTAAGAGCCATCAGCCGTAGAGATTAGTCCATTAACCCTAACAAACAGATTAATTATCAGTATGAATGAAACTAATTTCATAGGAATTGAATAATTAGGGATTAACGGCTCGAAAATAACCGCATATAATAGGTTTTTGATTGCAAATGCCAACATATTATTTTCCCCTGACAGGAATATTATTCTTTATTATTTGGCATTATATGTTGTTCCCTTTAAATAATACACCAATAATATTATTAAATCAAAAATAATTCTTAAAGATACGTATTATATTTTTTTCCGTTATAATAAAAGAAATAACTGCCTATTATACACTAAGGAAAAATGTTCTCTACGATTCTCTCTCTTAATGCAACTTATTTAGCAGTATATTAAACATTTTATTCTATATTATTTTTACTTTTTTACCAAGTGCGAGATCTTGCTATCCTGTGAATTTTGTCATGATTAGATAAGGATAAAATTATTTATTTTTAGGTTGACTAATCTTTACAAAACGTGACGCTTTTGACGCTGTTTTTGACGCTGTAAGGCTATTTGTGCTCTTTTCTGCTCATTGTTATGTCTTTGTTTTTGACGCCATAATGTTACCCTACACCCCAATCACATTTGTCGCACGGAGGCCGTGCGTCGACCGCAGATCAATTAAATCAGTGTATTTCTGCGCAAGCTGCGTATCCATTTTTTTAAAGGCCGCAGGGTCGCCGTAGAAATTATAGATTGGAGTTATAATATTTGTTCATTTCTGAGGTCCCCGTAGAAATCAACTGGCTCAACAAGATTGAATCATTATTTGTGAATGTTTCACGATCACTTTTCATTTGATATTACATCCTAGCACTATAAATAACATTTATAATTGTCCCGATGTAAATAAAATGAAAAAAGTATTATTTATCAACAGAAATTTAAAATTCACTGTGCGGCTGCCGTGGCCGTGGGAAATGTGACTGCAAAAGTATGAGAGCGCAGAAATTCCACAGCGAGCATAGAAATGTTACTTGCCGCATAAATGATAGACCGCAAGGTCGCCGTAGGAAATGTGACTGGGGTGTAACACCCCAGCCACATTTGTCGCACGGCGGCCGCAAGTCGACCGCAGATCAATTAAATCGGTGAATTTCTGCGGCGAGCGTAGAAAAACTACGCTCGCCTTGCGGCCTCCGTACGGCGTATGCAGATTTTTACAGGCCACTGGGAAAGCGTAGAAATTATAACTCAGAGTTATAATTATAGTTGTTCATTTCTGAGGTCCCCGTAGAAATCAACTGGCTCAACAAGATTGAAACCTTATTTGTCAATGTTTCACGATCACTTTTCATTTGATATTACATTCTAACACTATGAATAACATTTATAAATTGTCCTGATGTAAATAAAATGAAAAAAAGTATTATTTATCAAAGAAATTAAAAATTTACCTTGCGGCTGCCGTGGGAAATGTGACTGCAAAAGTATGAGAGCGCAGAAATTCTGCGGCGAGCGTAGAAAAGCAACTGGCCGCAGAAATGATAGACCGCACGGCGGCCGCAGGAAATGTGACTGGGGTGTTATTGTCTCCAGTTTTGTGCGATGTGTATATACAATATGCTATACAATACATATACATTACGACTACAAATTGCATACTTTATGATATGTATACGATCGCAAACTAACACCCCAGTCACATTTGTCGCTTGGCGGCCGCAAGTCGACCGCAGATCAATTATATCGGTGAATTTCTGCGGCGAGCGTACAAAAACTACGCTCGCCTTGCGGCCTCGGTACAGCGAATGCATATTTTTACAGGCTGCAGGGAAGGCGTAGAAATTATAGTTCAGAGTTATAATATTTGTTCATTTCTGAGGTCCCCGTAGAAATCAACTGGCTCAACAAGATTGAATCATTATTTGTCAATGTTTCACAATCACTTTTCATTTGATATTACATCCTAACACTATGAATAACATTAATAAGTTGACCCGATGTAAATAAAATGAAAAAAGTATTATTTATCAACAGAAATTTAAAATTCACTGTGCGGCTGCCGTGGGAAATGTGACTGCAAAAGTATGAGAGCGCAGAAATTCCACGGCGAGCGTAGAAATGTTACTGGTCGCAGAAATGATAGACCGCAAGGTCGCGATAGGAAATGTGACTGGGGTGTTAGACAGAATATAGCAATTTCGCAACGCAAACAAGAGTTTATTCATCCCTAACACCCCAGTCACATTTCCTGCGGCCGCCGTGCGGTTTATCATTTCTGCGGCCAGTTGCTTTTCTACGCTCACCGCAGAATTTCTGCGCTCTCATACTTTTGCAGTCCCATTTCCCACGGCAGCCGCAAGGTAAATTTTTAATTTCTTTGATAAATAATACTTTTTTTCATTTTATTTACATCAGGACAATTTATAAATGTTATTCATAGTGCTATGATGTAATATCAAATAAAAAGTGATCGTGAAACATTGACAAATAATGATTCAATCTTGTTGAGCCAGTTGATTTCTACGGGGACCTCAGAAATGAACAAATATTATAACTCTGAGTTATAATTTCTACGGCGACCCTGCGGCCTGTAAAAAAACTGGATACGCCGTACGGAGGCTTCAAGGCGAGCGTAGTTTTTCTACGCTCGCCGCAGAAATTCACCGATTTAATTGATCTGCGGCCGACTTGCGGCCGCCGTGCGACAAATGTGACTGGGGTGTACCACCCCAGTCACATTTCCTGCGGCCGCCGTGCGGTCCATCATTTCTGCGGCCAGTTGCTTTTCTACACTGGCCGCAGAATTTCTGCGCTCTCATACTTTTGCAGTCACATTTCCCACGGCAGCCACACGGTGAATTTTAAATTTCTGTTGATAAATAATACTTTTTTTCATTTTATTTACATCGGAACAATTTATAAATGTTATTCATAGTGCTAGGATGTAATATCAAATGAAAAGTGATCGTGAAACATTGACAAATAATTATTCAATCTTGTTGAGCCAGTTGATTTCTACGGGGACCTCAGAAATGAACAAATATTATAACTCCGAGCTATAATTTTTACGCCTTCCCTGCGGCCTGTAAAAATCTGCATTCGCCGTACGGAGGCCGCAAGGCGAGCGTAGTTTTTTACGCTCGCCGCAGAAATTCACCGATATAATTGTTCTGCGGTCGACTTGCGGCCGCCGTGCGACAAATGTGACTGGGGTGTTATGTTTATAACTTATGAAGCATGTGTCCTACATCATCATTGTTGCGCAGCTCTATCCATCCATATGGAGCCATTCTTATGAATTAACATTGTATTGGTCATACTTGAGTGCACCATTGTCTCAATTAGACATAGTCATTGATAAGGAACTATGTTGAAAATTGCAAAGAAGTCATTTTACTATCCAATCCATCTTATCATCAAGAAATCTAGAGGAGAGAATAAGTTTTTCTTTGTTAAAAGAACATTTGAAATGAAATATGAAATATACATTTTTATACGTACATATTTTTTTTGAAACGCCAATTATATTTCAACTCACTTATACTTATAAGGTATAGCTATACGAAGAAACCTAAGTTGTGTCTCCACTTATGGGCGAAATATCTCTCTAATTCCTCTCGAATATACTTTTTATTTTTACCTTTAATACAAGGAAACATGGGTCTGTTAGATCAACATCTTGCTATTCGCTGGGTGAACCGCAACATTGCCTTATTTGGAGGAGATCCAGCACGAATTACCTTATTTGGAGAATCTGCTGGGGCAACAAGTGTTACGCAACAAGCAATTGCTCCTTGTAACAAAGGACTTTTTAAGTAAGTTAAAATTATTTTTGGAACATACGTATTAACAACAAAACAATTATCTTGTTAACTTGAGCTCTACATTATTCGTGACAGTTATAACGAGATGCCCTAATTAAGTGTAATAATTAAAATGACCATTTCAGTGATCAATTTTCACAAATATGGTTAATTTGACGTGAAAATGCATGACAGAAATACAACATGTAAACCATTAAAGTGATTTCCCCGACGCAGTAAAATGGTTGCCAAAGTAACCAAGATGTCATTATGAGTATCATGACATAATGAGGTCAGATATATACAGTATGTGTGCTAAAAATCATAAAATGTTATTTAAACGTTTCCATTACAGGAGAGTGATTTCTCAAAGTGGAACAATTTTCTCGGATTTCGCATTTCATGGAAAAGATATGTTACCAGCCGTAAGGAAAACTGGAACATTAGTAAATTGTACAGATGCTAACGTTACGAAGCTTATTGAATGTCTCCAACGTGTGAATCCGAAGGCGCTGCTACTCGCTTCACGTCCTCCATTTGATGCTATTGATATCATATATGGCTGGAATCCTGTTGTCGATGGAAAATTCATCACCAGAGAACCAGCTGATTTGCTGCGAGGTAGGGCTCGTGGACCCGTGGCAAAAATGCTGAGAAGTATTGATCTCTTGATTGGCCACAACAGCGATGAAGGTTACAGATTTATACAATTCTATGCCGTATTTCAACACCCTAATTTTGAATTGTGGAATCCGTCATGGAATGAGGTTTCCATTGTTCTCCCTGTTATGGAAAAGTTTTTGAAAATTGTCGCCGCCAAGTACGGGGACGAAACGGTCGCAGAAACAATCTATGAAACACTTGCACTGGCGTATTTCGGTATACATAAGGGAGCCAAATTCAACGGGGAACGACTTGCTCAAATAGCTAACGAAATTATAAATGACAGATGGTTTTTAATCCCAGCACTACAATTTGCTAATTTACATGCCGGGCTTGGTGGTCGGACGTTCAAATATCACTTTATCTACAGGCCGTCTACGGCCATGCATCCCAGCTGGGTTAAAGGGGCCGATCACAATGCTGAGTTTGTATTGCAATTTGGAAGCTTTCCCGATGATCCCATTGATCAACTGGTGGCATGTACTATGATAACATACTGGAGCAACTTTGCCAAGACAGGGTAAGTAATTCAAGATACTTTTATAATCATCATTTTCTGTGAACATGTAAATAAGCAAATGTAAAACAATCATTAGTAGCATTGCAAACCAAAATCAAATGGCTCATGGGATGATTATTTTGTCATGTTGTCCAACTGGTCACACGTTGGCATTTCCTTAAATACTGAAAGAAAAGCATTGTGATAAAAGAAAGCAAAACATTCAACCATATTTTTCTGTTGCATTTATTGTTGATGACCTTATAATGAGACTAAAAAGGTTTATATAGGAATGTATATGTACGTGTATGAACGTTTCCGTTTATACTTTCCAATGAATGAGAAACTATATTTTTTTTAAAGTATAAACTTACAATATGTGAACCGCCATATCTTATATTAGAATCGAAACGTAAAGATTTCAAACGTATACAATACATCAAACTATGATAACCCCCTGAAAATATTTAGCTTGATATTTTCAGAAATCCCAATGAACCAGCTGCCAATCCTGCACTGTCAGCCTATTGGCCTCCGTTCACAAAGGAGAAAAGTCAAAATCTCGAAATATCTGCTAACACAGCACCAAGCCAGCCTGGTGAAATCATCAAACCTGACCGAGTTCACTTTTGGACTGAATTTCTCCCGAAGATTACAGCTACTGCTAAATGTGGAGCAAAGAAAACGAAAAAAATATGAAAATTAAGAAAGTGATGGGTAGAACTTGCTTTAATGTACTTTTCAATGTAAGTAATGATATATGGATGAAGTCAGTATTATTCGAAGGCTAATGTCGCCTAGTTTGGAATCCATGTGTTTGTAATTTTGAAAATAACTAAAGATAATATTATTTGGAAAGTGAGAGATATCGATGATGTGATAACGACGAAACAGTTAAACACCAATGGCTAACACTATAAAAGGTTATTGACTGATATTTGCCAATACTTGAACCGTAACTATATTTTAATTTAGTAAAGGGCTGGTATTTCCCAGCGGTGTAACTGACACTTTTTCGAAAATGTAGTCATTTGCTAACACATGAACAGACTCTTTATAATATAATTACGATACGCGTTGGAACTCACACTTAACTACGAAAATGTAGTCTGTCATTTACTAACAAATGAACAGACTCTTTATAATATGAGTACGATGAGCGTTGGAACTCACACTTAACTACGAAAATGTAGTCTGACAATCTCATTCACTAAACATGCGAATAATTATGGAGGTAATTTTTATCATAACCGTTTAATATATTTCCGTCTTTTAGGCTGAATTATGCCTGCCACTAACAAAGGTAAAAAATTACCAAAAACTAAAATCCCAATTTTTCACAATTTGGAGTACACAACGCAACAGAAAATACTACAAAATGAATTTAAATATATGATTTTTTTACGTTTTTTTACCCCTTGTGATGAAAGACATGTTTCGACCCGAAAGCCCGAAGGTTTTCAGCAAATGGTATTATAAAAGAATCAAGACATATGCACCTCTATAATTATTCGCATGTTTAGTGAAGAGATTGAACTCTGCCACAGTAGCAATGATCCATATTGGAAATTAAGGTCATTTTAGGAATACAATTCATTCTAGGGGTATGTTAATGTTAGGTCAAATATCGCTGCGCTATAGTGTGCTACCAGCTCCTTTATTTATTTATTAGACGTCCTAGAGATTTCATTCCATGGACTATGTCCCCACTGACGGATGATCCTATACGATGGGTAATCAGGAATTTCTGGACCGTTGGGTTTATTTTTGCAGTTTTATATCCTTTCTTAGTGATTTTTTCACACAATATATCCCAAATATATAGAAACACACCATGAAGATTTAATTGTTCTATGGTATTATATTATTTTGTTACCTTGGTAACCGGTGACGCAACAAGGTGCCAAATTCAGATCATAGGGCTGTAACAATGAATATTAATAATGAAAAAAATGTAAAGGGCCCATCTTACTGGAAGTTCAATAATAGTTTTCTGAAAGATATAGAATTTTTAAATGGTATAAATGATCTTATTTTAGATATATCAAAAGACAAAATTACAGACAGACAACTATTGTGGGATTATTTTAAGGTACAGGTTAAAGGTTATTCTATGGTATATGGTAAAAAGAAGGCTTTAGAAACCAAAAATCAGGTGAAAATAGCGAAATTAAAATTAGAAATGGCATGCAAAAACCTTGTAAATAATCCAGAAAATGAAGAACTCAATAGACAGGTAAATGAATGTAAGCTATTTTTTGATGTTGTCTCGATGGCAGAATGTTCAGGTGCAGCCACTAGAGCTAAAGTTGATTGGCTAGAAAAGGGAGAAAGAAGTACCAAATATTTTTTTCAATTGGAAAAATCAAAAGCTGAGAAAAAATATATTTCCAGCTTAAAATTAGATAATGGTAATATAACTACAGATCAAAATATTATTGCAAGGGAAATAAACAGATTTTATAGTAATTTGTACTCTGAGAAGAAAGTATTTAGAAAAGCACAACTTCATGATTTTTTAAAGGATGTACAGGTACCAAAATTAAATGAAAATGAAAGAAATTCATGTGAAGGACTTGTAAGTAGAGATGAATGTATATTAGCGATAAAAGATATGAAAAATGATGCAAGTTCGGGTCTGGATGGCTTAACAGCTGCCTTTTATAAAGTATTTTTTAATAGATTAGGTGAGTTATTAGTTAGCTGTACAAATGCTGCATATGTAAAAGGTGAATTATCAGTAAGTCAGAAAACTGGATTAATAGTTCTAATTCCGAAAAAAAATCAAGAACGAAATGTCTTAAGAAATTGGAGACCATTGACGTTGACAAATGTTGACTACAAGATTATTGCAAAAATTTAGGCACTAAGAATTAAAAAGGTAATAAAAGTTGTGATTCATGAAGATCAATGCGGGTATATAAAAGGAAGAAGTGCCGCTCTGGTACTCAGAGCTATAGATGATATTATTGATTTCACCAATACTAATCTTACGAAATTTTACGAAAGCGTACGATACAATTTCTAAGCCATTTATGTTAGAAGCCTTGAAAATGTTTGGTTTTGGTGATTCTCTTGTTAAATGGGTGTCTATAATATTATGTAAAAATGGTGTAAGTCGTATTTCTAATAATGGTTGGATTTTTGGTGAGGTCATGCTAGAGAGAGGAATACGGCAAGGTTGCTGTGTATCTCCATTGTTGTTCATCATTGCATGTGAACTATTATCATGTAAAATTAGGCAAACAAAAGATGTAAAAGGAATACACATTCCAACATTTGATGAAGATGTAAAAATTGTGCAGTTTGCCGATGACACGACTGTGTTCTTAAAAGACGAAGCCTCTATGAAAAAAGTAATGAATATTTTTGAACAATTTGCCACAATTTCAAACTTAGAATTAAATAAATCAAAAACTGAAGCATTATGGTTAGGCAGCTGGAAAACAAGAATATATAAATAAGGTGATATAAATTGGAAAATAATCCCAGATAACTGTGTAACAATTCTAGGCATCACCTTTTCACCTAGTACAGATGTGATAAACAATAATGTTAATATTGAAAGTAAGTTTATTAAGTGTGAAAATGTAATTAAAACATGGAATATGAGAATTTTAACATTATTAGGCAAAGTTACGATGTAAGTCATTAATTTTAGCACACTTTTTGCAAGCTTTCATTTTGCATGACATACTGTTAAATAGAATCAACAAATTAATGTTTAAGTATTTGTGGGCAAAAGGCCGATTTAAAGAAACTGATATTGGACAAGTGCCAGAGAAGATCAAAAGAAATGTTATTGTGCAGAATCATCAGAATGGTGGTCTTAACATGATAGACATTAAGGATATGCAAACTGTTTTTTGTATTAAATGGATTAAAACGCTAAAAGAAAATGGACAAGGTCATTGGAGATATGTTCCACATTATATGTACAACAAATTAGGTAAAAATTTGAGCGTTTTTAACAGTAATATAACTGCTGAAAACTTTTGTGGAGCAGATCAACTTAGTCCTTTTTATCAGAATATTTTAAAACAGTGGTTACAATCCAATGAATATAGTTGCAATGAAGCTATAATATGGAATAATAAAAGTATTACAATGTATAATAGACCATTACTTTTTAAACATTGGATTGAAAATGATGTAATTTATACAAATTATATTGTTAAAGATGGAATGTTATGTTCATATAATGTCATAGTTCAAAAAGTACAGCGCAATGGACAAACCATGCTGCAGTATAATATTTTAAAAGCATGTGTTAAACAAGAGTTAATTACAAAGTATGGAGATGCAGAGAATAATAACAACTTGAGATTTGTAAATAGAGAATTATGTAAAGCAGATTCAAAGTATATACGATCAGAGTTAGTCTTGGCAAGAAGATGTGATATTAAATATGATAATATATTGATAAGTAAGGATGTGTGGAACACACTTTTTAATTGTACAAAAGATAATAAGCTCAAAATTATCCAATGGAAGATTATCCATAAAATTTATCCAAGTGGCAAATATCTAAAACAGTGTAAAATACAAGATTCAGATAAATGTAAATATTGTGATAATGAAATTGATGATGATATGCACTATTTTGTTAAGTGTAAAGAAGTTTTAAATATTTGGAACACCAATGATTGTTATTGTCTCAGTGATAAACAAAAACTTGGTATTGAAAATTTAGCACAAGAAAAATATTTTAAAAGTCTGATTATAAGAAAAGCTATCCATATGTTTAAATGTGATCTGCTGAATGAGCAGAACACTTTGAAAATGATATATAATAGGGAAAAATCATTTTACAACATGTAACCTTTAGATGTAAATGTATTAATTGTACTGTATATATGTTTTGATTTGAAATATAGTTTTTAATAAAAAACAAAAAACAAAAAAAAACAAGGTGGAGCTCAGAAAAATAGCAACTTTGAAAAAATCAACAGTAACTTTGTTTGGACATATCAATTGCAACAGTGTTTTCACACTATAGTGTTGTTCAAAAACAAGTGATGTAATTTGCGAAACCAATATTATTTATTTTTGTAAATCGATCACATCTACTATGGGCGTTTTTTCAAAATTAAAATGTACTTAATCTTTACGCATATCTAAACTGATCAATTTAAATTCATGTTAACTATAAACATAATATATTAATTTACACTTTCAAAAACAAACGGTCTACAAAATGCTTTTAATTGCTTTTAAAATAAAATGTGATGAACTGCTCATGATCATCATATTTACGAAATTGGACAACATCTTTTCCATTCAATCGAGGTTTTGCCATGCAGCCGAAGGTAAGCCATACAACCGAATTTTGCCCATTCAGTCTGACGGAGAATGCCGAGCCTCTCTTTTTGACCAATTAGAGACGTCCTCTTCACATTCGTGGTACCCTCGGCCAACTTCATTTGCAAAGAAAATCGTCGGCAATCTCCGGCTTTTCTTTAGGTATCTTCGGTTGCAAGTCAAAAGTCGACACCCTTTACGAAAGCAAGGGATAATGGGAATGAACTATTTTCTTATTTTAAGCTTGATATTCGCTTCTTTGGAGGCATAATAGTAATTATCGGGATTTCCTATTGTCGAGGGCCAGTCGTACCATGACATGCATGTAGCATATCTTTGGCAATTGGGTCCTTGATTGTATATACCGAAAAGATTTGGTGATTGGCAGTCGTTGTACCAACCAGCACCATGAAATGTTGTCGCACAATGTCGCGAACCTTGATCCTGATCGTTGTCCTTTGTGGAGAACTTCATGCCATTGTGGTTTCTGAAAGAATTCCCTGCAGTTCCGCTGTAGCCCTCAATTTGCAAGCGATAGCCCTCACTAACATTTGCCACACGGAAGGTTGAATACTGGGCGTATGCCTCGGTGCTCTCTGGTGGCCACA